CATGATTCTGATGCTGGAGGAGATTGGTTGCCACTGCATGAGAGCCTTCGATGCTGTTGGGGACATCATGATAGCCACTCGAAAAGTCAGTGTGCTTGCGGTTGTTGTGTGGGTGACAATATCGGAGTAGATTATTGACTGTCCGGTTGACAGTTTGGAGAGTCCACTTCCATTGCATCTGCTTTGGCAGATTCCAAGGACTTCGATGTCATACCTCCTCATCACTTTTGCAATCTTGGCAGCCTTGGTAGGTTCATACATGATGCAGATATTCCATGTCCCCATGTTTACTTTTGCTTTGATTGAGAGAAGAGAAGACAAATCGGCCGACTGGCTTCCTGAAGGCTTTTACCAACCGGCATCATTTTGTCTCTCCGATTCCAGCGAGGAATAAGTTTGTTTTTGTTTTACATTTTGTTTGTGCTTTGAAGTTTTTTTAGGGGTTGGATTGGTTTTCCGGGGTGGGTTGCTAGTCTTATGCCTAATCTTCCCTTTTTATCCGGGCTTAGGACTGGCTAGTAACTAGTGACTAGTTGCCTAGGTGAGGTTATTCCGGTGTTATAACGTAGTATTCAAAACAGGTGTGTTTGAGAACTGTCCTCAGGAGTGAAGCTCTCCAGCCGGGAGACACTTTGAGTGCACTTTGGTATTTTTGGGTAATTACCGAAATCACCTCCGGGAACGTCTCAAAAATAACTTATATTTTGCAAGATTACAGTCTTCGGGAAGTTGATAAATATTTACAGACATCGTATTATACGACTGCATCCACACACAGATTCTATTCACGTACACTATGTGCTGCTTGTCATAATGCCTTATTTGTGAAACTTTGGGTATGCTGCAGACAATTTGACAGATTTGGGTGCAGTGCAGACAATCTAGGTAATTTGGGCGCACTTTGACAGCTTTGGCGATTTCGGGAACGAGAATGCATTGTGTACAGTAAGCCCAAAGTTTTCCTGCCTTTTTCTACCCGAAAATTTCAAAGTGCGCCCAGTGTTTGTCGGCTAGGTGGTTGTGAATTCACGACTAGTCGTGGCCTCCTTCCTCCAAATGCTCATATTGTTGCACCAGTATTGTGTTAGTTCTTTCATGTGTTCCTACTACCATTGAATCTACTGTATAGTTTCAGAAAACTGTAACAGTTACTCCAACAGATCTTTCCAAAACTATGTTATAACATTTAAAGAGAGTTTAGTAGAACGAAACTTTAGTGACGGCCATTCACGTTAAGGCATGAAAAGACCATTCAGGATCGAGTATATGGAGGACCACTTAATTACTAAGAAAAATGGCGCTTTATTTGTAATTTATGAAACTTACCCATGAGGAATAGAGATATTTTCATTTCCAATGAGTTTATCATCATTGAAACCATACCACTGTCTGTATCGCCTTTCATACATATAAGACCATATGATATCCCTTAAGACGTCGTGTTCCTGCTAAAGGTCTTGAGAAACTTCGAAGACGACTCCACATGTCTTCAACGCTGTTTGCGTATACTCCAGTTTTCAGACCAACAAGGTGGTTTTTGTGAACAGTAACTTGATGAGGAAGCCTATTTATTATAAACAGCTTGTGTAACATCAACAAAAGAATAGACGGACGTAAAGGAATGACCCTAATGTCATCTGCTACGTGAATGGTCGTCCTTAAGTTTTCCCATCACTGAAATGTAGTTCCACCGAGAAGTTTTGTCAAACAACTTGGATCTAGTAGTGACTTTTGATAGGTTAAATAAACAGTGATAACTTAACGAACCGACTTCCTTTTACGAAAAATAGGAAAGTTGAGTACATAGTCAGGTCAGTTGAAAGGTACTAGGCAAGTATTGTTTTTTCAGTGATCAGTAGTTATCTTCCTCACAGCAATGAATATAAAAAAAGTGGACGAAAATTACGCATTTTTGTCAAACACCTTGAACAAGGCATGTAGGTGAACAATATTGTTTTCAATCAGAACTCAGGATTTACGATTACACATTGATTAGCTGCTGAAGAGTAACCAGTTCCATATTGTCTAGTCCTTAGTGCCGGCTGAATTCTACCGATCATTTTGCAATGTGGTCATCAAGGTTAGGGACTTATCCATCATGGTTCGAATTTCGTGATGGACATCAATTCTCTCTAAGTTGCAGGCTTGCCTTGCCGTTGTGCGCCAACAAGGACGAATCCTTGGTTCAGTGTTTGTTACTAATTTCCTTTAACCAGCTAACCACCGTTGGTTTGTCGGTATGGGATTCCGCAGATACCTCCAAGATGCCATTCCGATTGGTTCAGCTTTCCTACCTGAGCTTTAAAGCCCTCTGGCTCTATGACTATATCTGAACATTATGCTTTTCGTAGGAAAATTGACAGCTTCTTATTAGATTTGCTTTTTGCATCATCTGAACCGTAATCAGTGGGTGTGTAGGTGAATATTACGAATAGACATCGGATTGTCTCATGATCCTTCTTATCTCTTTTACATCCACTCAGTGGGAAAGCACATAGACGGCTGTCGACTGGTATTTAGTCGAAAAGCGCACTTTCTGCTCTACAACCTAGTGCCATGCATACACAAGCGAGTATTAAAGAAGTAATCACTGGGCCTCCGGATTGCAGTAAAGTGAATTTTGAAGATTCACTACAATGACCAGGTGAGGTAAATTTAATAACCACACTCGGGTCCTGTATACGTGTCTCAGAAACACAGCATACATCTATGGTTTGACATTCCAGAGTTCTGGTTAGCGATGCCTGCTGTTCGGCCCGGTATACCGTCCGACGATGAAAGGTCCAATATGAAATCAGCAGCGGGGTCTTAGGAATCTAGGAATGAGGTTTCGATGGCTTTGATCGTTTGGAATGGTCGCAGAGTGGGAGGTTGAGGAAGGTGTGAGAAGCTTAATATTGGTACCATAAAGGGAAGACAAAGGAGAAAAAGGTTAGGAGGTTAGGTTATTTTTGATTGGGTCTTGTATACTTTTGGAAGCATGCGGGCGATTACCAACTCCCTAGCTGCCCACTTCGTGGAAGGATATGTTTTAGTAAAGTAATTAGAAGAGAAAAAGACCTGTGTGACCACAGAACCCATGGGGCATCTGCTTGAGGTCCGTCGCACACAGCCTTTTGAGGATTGTTGGTATGGGTCTTACTTATTCTAATGCAGGATAGAGAAATCCCGTAATGCTAGCACCAGAAAAACACAGGCCAGGAAGGAGTATGCTATTCCTTGGGCTATCTGTTTTTAAGCCCTCTTCTCATAAAGAAGGCATCATAGACATGATACTGCTGGTCATTCGCGGGAAACACCCCAATGATGTCAAAACCTATCCAGACAGCAGTACGGTTTCTCCCTCGGACTCCCACCATAGTGTGGCATTTTTAACAGCGGTAGCTTCTTTTCATCTCACCAATATCCAACAGACCTCACTGGTATGGAAGAGCCTCATGGGAACACGCATTCCAACCAGCTCGGGTCATTGTGATATACAAACCCGAACATCACGTCAAGATAGATCAATAGCTTTTATCTCTGCATCAATTAGTCTTGACACCTAACAACAGTAAATAAAAACGTCAGCAGAATGGAAATATAGTGAATGGAAATCGGATGTGTATAAGTCGCTAGTTAGTGTGACTGGAGTAACTTTAGTTTACTCGGGTTGATTCATTAAATAAATTTATATTCGCATATGACACAAAGTTGAAGCTAAGAAAGCAACTCCAGTCTTCGTGTGCATAAACGGTTGGTACAACTCTTATTTCTTCCTTGACCAGAGAACTTCAGAAGCGGAGGATTGTTGGACGACTATCACTTTCTGAAGTACCTGTTTTACCTCCAATCACGCGTTAGTACGGGCTCGTGTATGTCTGCGCCTCTGGTCGTAGAAAATAAGTGGCAGTAAAGTGTCTGTGCCCCATTGGAAGATGAGTACGTTATTTACGTATTTAGGTAGGAGCTAGCTAAGCATCTATTTGGACGTGATAGCACTGCTTACCTTGAAGAAACCTGGTGTGGTATTAAGTCTGCTCTAGAAAAAGCTGTAAATACAGTTGATAACCGACATCCAAAATTTGACAGACGCGAATGGGTTTCCGCAACGTCATCTGAGCTGATAGATGCGAGAAGACTGATTCCAGCTGACTTTGATCGAAATGAAGAGCGAAGTCAACTGAAATATAAGTTGACCAGGAATCTCCACAATAGCCGCGAGCAGTAGTGGGTGGCAAAGACGTCAGCATTAGGCAATAACTGACAACTATTTAGGCTTATTAAGGATACCGGAAAAAAGGAGGCGATGGTTTTTAGAACCTGAATGGGACGTTTTTGTTGGTCCGCAAAGTATCCTTGACACTAGGAAAGCTGTTTTTAACCTGAGACGATGTAAAGCCGCTGATATTTAGGGTTTCCCACTCGAGTAGAGTAATAGAGGCATTAAGTAGTGCCTGAGAGTCAGAGGGAGACCCGTTAGACTGGTTTACTTCTCTGATCATCCCAGTCTATAAGGAGAGGTCTCATTTTAAAACCCATAGGGCAATCAGTATAACTAGTATCGCTTCCAAGATCTTTGGGTCCATAGTTATCCGACGCCTAACTGAAATTTAATAACGGCAAACTTGAGAAAACTAGGCACGTTTCCGACGTATATATATATATATATATATATATATATATATATATATATATATATATATATATATATGGGTCTATTGACTATTTTTCTCTGAGGAATAAATCCTCTTCTCGATTTCGTCCAGTTTAGAGTCGGTGGATCTTGCGTACAAAGTTAGCTATCAGTCGAACGTGCGTGTTATATCCTCTCGGAATATATAACAGATCTGCACTGTATTAAATTTTTACAATATTCATAGTTGGCTGTATCACACTTTTGATGTGCATTATTTCTGAAGCTAATAAATAGTGTTGATTTGATATTTTAGTGATTTCTAGATGATATTTCGAATTCACAAATGATACAGGGTTGTTAATTGTTTTCGTGTTCACAGCTGATGACTGGAATCAAAGATCTACCACGAGATTTATTCTACCAAATTTGTTCTTACTTACGAATTAATGATCTTGTTGCACTGTCTTCTGTGTGTGCACAGTTTAACCACTGGTTAGGCCGACAGTCGTATTGGAAATGGCGTTCACATTATCTTTGGAATGGCACATATCCTTGTTTACCAGGTTGTTTATCTCACGTATTATAATAAATGCTGGCTTTATAGAGAAAGCTGTAGACTGGGTGTCGGTGAGTTTTGAAAGGGAAAAGTGTTTCATGAACTTTGGTGACAATTCATCCACTTGTGTTCGTATGTCCAAAATTACCGTCATCAGTCATGGCATCGATGCACTGCACATTCCTTTGGTATTCATTATTCCCTATCGATAATGATCTTTATCACAGAGACATCCAGACTTACTTCTGACTGGTGACAGAGGTCGAGTGGTTTCTATATTTTCACTCAAGAGTGGACTGCTTTCCTCTGCATGGCATCCTGTATTTATTGAATATCATAGTCATTCGGTAAGTTAATTTGCTATCAACATTATTTTAAATATTTATGGTTGCTTTTCACACTGTGCCTAAATTCCATTCTCATACTTTCCAATTGTTTCCGCAGAATGAAGCAGTAATGTAAGGTGTAAACTGTCATTCCTACTTTAGTCATCGTTGATTAGTTTAGTCAGTGATCATTTGCTGTTTATAAAGGTTTAAGTATGAAGTTTCAGATAGATTCGTATCTAAATACAGTTTGGCCAACAACATTTCATGGTATTCACCAATTAGCTTATTAGAATACCATTCTACTGCAAAAATGAATCCTGAAAATTATCTCGATAATGTATTGAACTGATTTAATGATGAGACTACTCATAAAACGTAACTACCTTCCATCAAGTTCCAGTGGAAGAGATACCAAACAAAAAAGTAATTATTCCGTTAATAATAATAATAACAATAATAATAATAATAATAATAATAATAATAATAATAATAATAATAATAAGCAATTGCACACAGAATATTCAACGCAAAGTATAAATGGTTGCAACAAATTTGATTAAGTCATTCAAGAACAAAACGTTAGCAAACATCACTTAGTATTCAGTGATTAGCTACTCAAATTTTTACCTCTATGGCATATATTATACTCCTCGTATAACGGCTGATATTATCACTCATACACTTCATCTAAATAACTTTATTACCACAATACCTTACATACAAATACTTTATAGCATACGAATGTGAATGGTTCACATCAATTTGACTAATACATTAAGAGTACCACACTTAAGTTATTCACGGGACACACTTATTATGCCAATAGTTATTCGAATTTATGAATCATAGGTAGTTCTGATTTTTGTTTTCATCAATAGAAGTTATTCATTTCAAATTATAGTTTTAATCATACTGAAACATTGAAATCTTGTTTATTAGGAAAGATTTTTGCTTTAAAACTACTGATTTCTTCAAAATAACAAACGTGAATGGATCATTGATGAATGAAATGAGTTTTAGGCACAGTTTTCCTAATAAAAAACAATATACACAAAGTGTGTACACACACCTTCATCTTATATTTGGTTAGCTTATGTAGGATGGGAAAGATTAACGTAAATTCATGGGTTAAAATAAAATTCTTACGAGTTTTTAACCACTAAGTAGTTTGGTTCTTTTGTTATAATTAATTATGAAGCTAGATAAGTGGTTGTAAATAGTCTAAGAACAATATTAAAAACTGTTCAAAATGCTGAATCTGCTTTAACTGAACATTTTGTGAATTTGATCACTATAAATCTCATTGGTACATATATAAACCTCAGCCAAAGCTTAGGTGGACTAAGCGTCTGTAATATAAGTGTAAAACTTGGGCACTGTGGTAGAATTTAATTTCATGTTAGATGTGTTTATTCTGATTGATAACACATAGTGATACTTGATGACGACGTTTCCAGCATAAATGTTTGCTCATAATCATATCAATGTAATCGCACTACTTCGACACCTGATTTCTATACTCCTGTCACCTCATATTCTTTGTTTTTATTGGTAGTAAAATTTACCATATCTCTGGTATTGGTGTTGCATCGTTCCTATTACATGTGTTGAGTGTTGGTTCGATGAACAAAGATTCATTAATCACTCTCTCTCCCCATCTTAATTATATTGGGTAGTACAGTACAGTGGTTTTATCTCATCCTATTGCATTGCAATAGCCGGGTTCTTTTTCTAGGTTATTGATCTTATTCGGGTCTGTCATTTTATATTTAGCTAAGTCCCTATGCTCCACTAATCTAACTGACCCCGACCGGCTAGTTTGACCTATGTAGTTGACCTCGCAGTCGTTGCATGCAATTTGATAGATTAGATTATTTTGTTTAGTGGATTCTATCGGACTCTTAATCCGACAGAGCTTACCTCTGTGTGAGTTTGTAAGATTAAATGCCACCCTAAATCCAGCCTTGTTGAGAGTCCTATGTAAAGTTTGTGATGTACCTTCCACATAGGGTAACACAATGGAGACTTTGAACTCCTTTCTACTTGTGTTGTCGTTATTATTCGTACTCTTGTTACTGTTATTATTTCGCTTCTTGTGTGTTCGTACTAATTTCTTAATAAACGGCGAGGGATAACTATTAACTATTAGAGCTTCTTTTACGTGTTTCAGTTCCTTGTTGACTAGTTTTCTAGCTCTATCATTTAGATACTTGACTAAGCCTGCCTTATCTGACATTGGATGAGATGATATGAAGTTTAGATACCTGTTGAAATGCGTCGGTTTCCTATAGACGGTACTATCGAAACCGCGGCGTGTCCTTCATTTTATCCTGCATTCTCCTTAATCGTTTTCTACCTTGTTAGTGAATTGAATTGCCCCTACTACTGAGTTTATGTGTGAGGAAATTTTAACACATATCGCCACTATATTTTAGGTGCAGGATTAAAGGTTTGTAAAGCCATGTTTTCCCAACTATCCATAAATATATCTGCTACGATTGGGGATATTGGCGATCCCATTGTTACTCTTTCTATTTGTCTGTATATTTTGTCTTAAAACTTGAATATTGTGGAGGTTCAGGTACAACTGTACACCTAATCTGATCTCACCAACCGATATCTTAGATTTGTGAGTGAGTTCTGAGTCACTATTTAGTTGATTTCTAACTGCCTCCAGTGCTATATTGATTGGTATTTTGATACAAAGACTTGTTATATCCAAACTAACCATTTTTTTCGACCTCTACTAGATGTAAGTCATTAAGCCTTAGTTTCAACTCGTTAGAGTTTACCAGTCTGGAATTTGAACGGTTCCTAATAGGACATAATATCGATGCTAAGTACATTGTTAGTTCATATGTTGGGATATTTCTGAAGTCAACTATGGGTCTATTGGGATAGGCTGGTTTATGAACCTTAATAGTACCGTAAATTGTGCTAGAATTATTAGTTTTAGGTGTTAAATTAAGCCATTTAGACTCACCTAGAAATGGCTTTAGTCGGCGTATCAGATCGCCTGTAGATTTCTTATTCATGACCTCATCTAAAGGCTCCTTGATTTCTTCACATTGGTCCTGTTTGGATATGTTCATCAATTTTGTTGACATAACCCAATTCGACCATAACTACTGTTGAATTACCTTCATCAGATTTGGCAGTCACTACGTTATTTTCATTTTTTAAATTATACAGAGCTGAATTTTCAAGTTTCGTTGCCTCTTCTTTTTTCTTTTTTAATGCTAATACACGCTGCTCTGTTCAGCGGTTGCCGCATCCACCGAGCTTAATGCTGCTTCTGTGCTAGGTATGACATCTTCAGGTTTTAGATGAGTAAACATCTGCTGCGAAAATGAAAAGGGATTTCTGACTATGCTGTCCCGATTGATAGTTGCTTGATCATAGACCTTGCTTATCACAGTGACCCACCGAGCTGTGCTAGTGAAAACTTGTGTTCGTCGAGGTTATGCCATACCAGAAAGGTTTTTTAAATATTGGTAAGATATAAAGCAGTTACCATCATAATATAAGTAGCTACACTATGATGGGGGAGCTTCCGATGGCGAATTCGTAATTCTGGCTGGACGGGTGTAACATTGGTAAGGTGTTTCTTTTGGATGACCAGCAGTACGATGCTTATTCTGCCTTAACTATTAGAAGTCGATATTAGAAAGGACCGATCGAAAGAATAGCATATTCCTCTGTACTAGGTGGTCTTCCGATGCCAGTGGTGGTAGTTGGGCGCAACAAATTCAGAACTAAATCTCAAACTTTTTAAAGGGGCTGTATGTGGTCGTGCTCAAGCAGATAGTTCGTGAGCTCTGTGGTCAGTTACCGCCATTACTAATCTAACTCCTTTTCAGGCACCTCGTGAAAAAGCAGCGTATGGTGTAGGCAGTTGGGAAATGTTACCACTCAAGTTCCCTCAGATTATTATCAATCTAACACATCTGTGCCTTCTAGTCTTTCCTCACGTCTCTTAGACGATATTCCTACATCACCTTTAATTTGTTCCAGCTCTGCAGCTCTTGATAAAGATCTGGGTTCATGGAATGGTATCTTTGGTTTCCCAAAACTACTCTACAGGCTACATATCAGAGTTATCGATGTTCTTACGTTCCATCAAATCAGGTAACAAGCTTCGTGAATCAATACTATGGCATTTGGAACCATGTACATGTGGTGTCTGTAAGGAAAGCATACATGACATAATTGTGGTCATTCACTTCACCTTATCTGATCAATATAGTGGATCTCCAACATCCACTAGTGATGTAGGTGTAGTTATGGCATTGAATGCTAGAGTAGAAGGTGCACTGCTAGACTGAATCCCAGTTTACAGTCACCTATACACTTCTAATGGACGGCGTAATGGGGACTATGAAGAATAGTGGGACTCCCCATTGTCCCTCTGTAATCTATCTTGCGCACCCACTAACTGAGTTCTACCGAAAACTGTCTATTCTCCTACTGAAAGCCAAAGGTTCAGAAGTGATTGTTGTTGCAGGTAATTTCGATGAACAAGTGGATAGTCTAAGTCAGACAAAAAGGCAATTAGGTGCCACTTTCTGAACCCCAGACAAACGAGCAGGTAGCGGTGATCGCCTGCTACAGCTGTGCTCAGACATCCATGTATTTTAGGTCACCATGAACTTCAGAGATACAGAGAAACATTTTCTGACGTGGAATTCACCGATCTCAACTCAATGGTGGACACGGATACATCATGCCTCCATCAGATATCGCTGCTGAGCGTCAGTGAAAGATTACTGCCCTTTCTACAGCATTATTTTAAATAGTGATCACGCGTTGGTTCAAGCACGTGTATCTTGGCGCGTAAGTGGATATGGAAACACTACAAACCATTCCAGGCACTGTTCTATGATGAAAATACTAAGGCTACTTTCAAAGAGCAAGTGACTAGACTGTTATTGGAATTGAAAAACATCTCTTATTCTGAAGAAGCATAGGACAACATTCTGTCTTTTGTAGAAATAGTATTTAAGACGCTAAAACTAACC